GAGGAGTAAATGTTTGAGCTGTAAAGCTTCCAAAATGACTTTGTTTATCAGAACAGATGAAGGGAAAAAAAAAAAAAAGCTAAAGGAATCATTTGAAGCTCAAAGCAAAAGTGTTTATAGGACAGCTTTTAGTGCTCCGAGATTCCAGAGAGATTTCAGCAATTAACAGCATAAACTTCCATAACTTCATTCCCTTCTATATGTGCATTGTTTAGCTGTTCCTGTGCTATTTAAGTTATTCCCCGTTACAATACTACAAAGAGATTTGCTGATCCTATAAAAAAAAAAAAAATACTTCAAGAAGCTTCTTCATAACATTCCTGGGATCCCAAAGCAGGGGCTTAAATCCTTTGACTTCCTACACAAGGAAAATATCCAAATAATGCCCAAATTCTCTTTGAATAACGGGAGGGAGATGAAAAAATTCAATTATTTTTGCAGCAGCAAAAAAAAATGAGCAGTGAAAGATGAAAATTTGGTGTTCCCAGGATTATTTGTGCCTATCTCAGATCCTTTGGGAATTCAGGCCACCGAAGGCACTTTTGCCTCTGACAAAAAATCCGTACGAATTTGGGAGTGGCACGAATACAAATCCAATGGGAAGAAGCCAAATTGTACCTCAAACGTTTGTTTTTTTTTTCCCTTGTGGTCTCACCTCACCCCGAGCCAGGCCTAAATTCCTAAATTCCCTGCTTTAACAGACACACTTTGTTCCCAGATCCCTCAAATCCATGGAATAACTCGAGCCATCATCATTCCCGCTCCTGCTAAACTTGGCGAGGGCGGGCAGAGCGTCCCCACCAGCGAGTGACATTCGGCTTCAACCTCTCCGCCAGGGGAATTGTGAATTATTAAACGCTGAAATAGGATGAGAAAAAAATCACCTAAAAAGAATCCCCATCTCAGTTATCCAAGGGAAGGATTGAGGGCTTCAACCTCTCCGCCAGGGGAATTGTGAATTATTAAACGCTGAAATAGGATGAGAAAAAATCACCTAAAAAAAATCCCCATCTCAGTTATCCAAGGGGAAGGACTGGGGTTTGGATGTTTAATCACCGCGACAGCTCGGCCGGCGAGATCCGGGATTTTTCCTGCTCCGAGTTCCTCATCCAAGAGCTCCCCGAGGGTCAATTCCCCAAAGTGGCTGGGATGAGGATGGGAGGGGAGGAGGATCCCGAGTAAACGTAGCTGGAAAATAGGGAAGGAGCAGGGAAAAGGCAGGAGGAAACACGAGCCATGGGATTCTGCCTGGCAAAGGTGGCGACGCGGGGAGAGCCAACACCCAAACTCCAGCATCCTTGTCCCTCTTTTCCTGTGAAAAACGGGGGTTCCTCTTGGTGGGCAGCTCCACACCTGCTGCACTGCTTCAAAGAGGGTTTTTTACTCCAAAATCTCCCCCCTGTGGGTTTTTTTTCCCCCTATTTTTTACTCCAGACACGGCCCTGGCTTCCCAGATCCTTCCTGCTGGGATCCATGCAGGCGTCCCAGGTGTGCCTCACCTGAGCAGCTCCAAAGCATCTTCCCAAGAAAGCCTCCAACTCATTGCATTTTTATTTTTGATCATCAAACAACCATAACAAAATCCTGCAGTTTTCCCCAGCAGGCCACACTCCAAAACCGGACTGTACTTTTTAAAAAAAAAACAAAACTCCACACTGTTCGTTGCGATTTCCTCACCGAATTAAAAAAAAACTGTGCTGGATTTGTGATTCCCTCGTTAGAGATGTATTAATTTGTCCCTCTAATGCAGGCCAAGCCCTAATCAAACTAATGGCAAAATGAAAAGCGAGGATTTAAATCCTTTAAAGGGACTTTGCTTGATTCGGTCAGGCAAAGATTGGAGATTTTTTTTTCCCTTTTTTTTTCTGGGCCGATGATAAAAATTCCTCTTTTCTCTGATTCTGCTCCCACCCACACGCTATTCAAACAGCTACAGAGTGGGCAATCCAGAACAGATGCTCCCAAACGGAGGTAAAATTCCAGCCTTGAAATAGAAGGAGCAGAAATTGAAGGGAATCAGGAAGATGTGGGCTTTGATTAACGGATAAAAAAACCCGAAATATGTCAAATGCGACAGACCCAGGGAATTCTTGGGGGAAAAGCTGCTTCAAAAATCCTATCCCCAGAGATCATCTCTTCATTTTATAGTGCCTCACACGTAAATGAGGATAAATTTCAGATAAATTTACTACGGAAGCCATCGCAAACTCCTCCCAAAATTTTAGTAGATGCGAGAAAATGAATTTTTGGTTTTTTTTTTTTTGGCGACCGTCCTAAAAAAAGGGCAAACAAAGCAGGAAAAACAAAAAGCAACCCCCCACTTCACGCCAGTGAATGCTCATTGTTCAATTGAAGCAACAGCTATTAAATCACTTTCCAAATACGATCTAAATTGGAGGCAACTCCAGGGGAGTTCGCTTCCCAATCCCACCAGTCTCCCCCAGTTCGGGTCAGAGGCTCCAGCCTCGCTTCATCGCCCTGCTCCCGAACACCTGCAAACATCAAACACAAACTCCTGGTCCTTTCCTGGGCTGACAAAAGCCTTTCATGTGAAAAAAAAAAAAAAACGCTCCCTGGGAATGTCACGGCTGGAGCTCAGGTTACATTCCTTTCTCCCTCGCAGCCCTCCCCGCTTTGGAACACGGGGAGAAGCCATGTTTGTGGAATTCGAGATTCAAAGGGAACCGGGCTTTACTTTCTTTCCCCTGGCGCGTCGCAAATCACAACACGGCATGGCAGGATTAGCTTGAGGGAAAAGCCAAGGGGATGACTTTAAGCAGGAATTATTCCCACACTTCCTAAAGCCCGCTTAGTTTCACTTCCCCTGCTTGGGATTACTTGGAGGCGCCCGGTTTTTATTTTAATCTCCGCTTTCTCCCCTCTGTAAAGACAACTTTGGGGTTAATGCGGAGAAACCTCCGTAAATCTCTTTGGAAAGAGGAATATTTAAAGGTCGCCTCAAACTTCGGAGGGAGAACTTCCAGGAGGAAAAGCAGGATCCAGCCCAGCTCGCTGCAATTCCCCGTTAGCAATCTGCATCATTAGAATAACACGCTGTTATTCGTGGAGCTGCCTTTAATCCTGCCACAGAAAGCATCTCCTGGAGCAGGTATTCTCAGATCCAATCCCCAATTTCCCAAATCCCGGCTCCTCAGGCGAACAATAGCCACCAACTCCATCCTCAGGCCACGCATCCTCCCGGGAGCAGCCTGGGGGTGGGGGGGGTGGGGGGATTAACCCCCAACTTTTTGGGAAGCACCAGGCACTCGCTGCAAAATTCCCTGGGTAATAAGCAAGCAGTAAGTGCTGCGAGTGGGAAATGGCCTGGATTTTCCCTTTGCTGCCATCGTGCACCAAGCCTTCCCTTCATCCTCCAGCACCAGGCACGGCGTGAGTCAGGGAATTCTCTGGGAATTCCGGCCGTGGCAGAGTTCAGGTGTTGGTTTTAAGTGGTCTTTATCTCCTTATTCCTAACTTCCCGCAGCTCGTTAAATCATCCCCTTCGCTAGGCGAGGATGCGGCAGAATTCCTCCCAATCTTTCGGCTTGCGGGACAACGAAACGCGACTGATTTTGTCCCCTCCTGATCCAAATGACTCCGGAGATGAGCTTTAGGAGGAATTGTTAAATAGGACTCTGGAGTCATTTGCTGTCAGCCCAAGTGCTGCTTGCTGCATGGACCGGGCTCCGAGCGTGACAAATTGATTCATCTGGCACAACCGCTCCAGCGAAAGCAAACGGAGCGGAGATTCTAGATCCGGCCTCGTCGCTTCGAAAATTGTGTCAGAAAAGGACAAAAAGTGGGGTTCAAACCTACAGCTCACGTTGGGAAAGTTAGCCCAGGCCAAGAGCAAAATTCCCCAAGTTGCTGTCTCCCGATACGTAAGCAAGTTTGGGAAGATAAAACTAAACCCAGCTTGTTCTTTTGCAAGCCTAAATAGAATAAAATGAGCGTTTAGGCGAAGGCTGAGCCGAAAAAACCCAGACCAAACTTCCAAGCCCGAATCCCCCTCCGGAAATAAAAAGCTAAATAGTGAATAAAGAGCAAAGCTGTGACTATCAGGTAGCAGACCCTCTGCAGGGGAGGGGTTTCCCTGAGCATTCCCAGGGAAGCCTTGGTGCGCGGGGAGCGAAAACAGCGCGGGGCTCCCCTACCTGCGCGCGGAGAAAAGCAGAGCGAGGAGGGGATCTTTGGCAGCTCTCCTTTGTCAGGCACATCCAAAAGCCCCTCTGGAAACTTGAGTTGCCAGAGAATTATTGTGCACACACGGTTTGCTGCAGAGAGCACCGAGGGCGCTTTTGGTCGCCCCGCTCCTGTTTTTAGGGAGATGCCCGTCAGCCCTAGCACAGCCAGAGGGAGAAATGGTCCAACCTCAATTTCAGGGAAGTATTCCAAAACAACAAAACGTCCTGGATTTAAGCAGCAAGAGAAAGTCACTTGAATATTTTAATCCCCCCCCCAAAAAAAATGCCATCAGCAAACAGCCCTCTCTAATCCTAAAGACTTTTTTTTTTCCCTGGTGTTTATTCTCGGGTACTTGTTTTATTTATTTAACTGCCACAGCCTTCAATTCTGCTTCCATAAAATTAATTTGCACACAAGAGGTTTTGACTATGGTCCCCGACAGACAAAGAGAGGCTTTGGAATTGGAAATAAAAAATTCTCCAGGGCTCAAATCACTACAAGAAAAAAGATAAATCTACTGTAAAACCAGAACAATTTTAAGCAATGATTAAACAGAGGAGAAGTCCAGGGGTTTTGAAAAAATCAGAAATGCAACGCTCTAAAAACCTCCCAAGCTCGTGGAAATAATAACAATAATAATAATAATAATAATAATAAAAATCAGAATAAGAATAACCGGCGCTTAGGAATAATTCCGCTGCAATCCGAACGAATCTGCTCCCCACGAGAGATTAAAGCACCACAACAAAGGTTAAATAAATCCCAACGTTTTTCACTACGGATGCAACAAAACAACAAAAAAATCCGGTACATACTTGAGCCAGTAAAATGTCCACTTGCCAAGGAAGTCGGTCCATTTTTCCCGCTGCTCACAGGAGGTGAAAACATCTAAAAAAACCAAAAAAACAAAAACAAAGAGGCATTACAAGCAATTCCCAAGTCCAAAGTTCCTCGCGCGTTCCTCAGGAGTTCCTCTCCCCCCCCCACACCCCACACCGAACCGTCAGCCCCCCCCCAGCCCTGCTGCAAAGGCAGTCCGGATTCCTCGCAGCCCCCCTGGCCACCGGCATTCCCGAACAATCTGCCCCCGCCGAAGCCTCGGAGCCCGGGGTTTCTCCAGGCTGGCCAAGCCGGGCTCCTTCCCCCCTCTCTCTCCCCGCCGACAAAAGGCGGAAAAAGTTGGGACGGGTCGCGACCTTGGTCATCAACGTGGCGACGTCCATTTCCATCCCGCTCCGGGATTTGCCTGGCATGTGGGAACCCAAATAATAATAATGCAAAGTGCCACCTGCCCTAAATTCTCATTCCGTCTCTCCCGCCGAGCAATTGGAAGCCAGGCTCGCTCCTCGCCCCCTCTCCCTCCCTCTCTCTCTCTCTCTCTCTCTCTCTCTCTCTCTCTCTTCCCAGCATTTATTTCGACCCTAATTGGTTTCTCCCTTCTCCGACGTGTCTGCTGGATAATACGCACCTTCCCTGAGTCAGAGCCTGCAAAAAGCCAAGGAACAAATGGGAAAAGTGCAGCGACAAGCAGAGAGGGGGCCGCGAAGCTGCCGCAGGCTGCGATTCCTGGCCAAACTTCCCCAAGCCATCCCTCAGCAGCCGAGGCTTGGAGCGGCAGCACCAGCCTGGAGCGCACGGGGAGGGGGGGAAAAGGGTGGGCTCCTTGGGTTTAGGAGCAGACCTGCCTCTCCCGGCTAAAGCTCTTCCCTAAAATAAATAACTAAGTGGATAGAGAGATATTCCTGACATATCGGGGGGAAGGGAGGGGATGGGGAGAGGAAGGAAGGGGGAGGGGGGAGCCTGACAAAACTAGACAAGTGCACGCGTCCGGCGCAACCCAAAGCAGCCTGGGGGGACAAAAAATATCCATTTCCTTCCAAAATCACCCCCGAATCCCGCCCGGGGAGGCTACGAGAAGGTTGGAGCAGTTTTAATGTGCCGGCACAAACCGCAGGAGATTCGAGGGAAAACTTTAAACTGAGACAGTCGTGGATTTCTTTGCACTTTTCCGTGCGCCAAAATCGAAACAAGGGAAGAAGCGAAAGGAGAATATCAGCAATTAATTAGCTCGTGTGCCAACGACGCTGGAAAATCCAAAGCACGGTAAAAGTGCGATGGGACGGAATGAGGAGGAAACGACGGTCGGTTTTTTGGGGAGTTTCTTTGGGCAGGAATTATTTGAGCCGTCCGAGACATGAAACCAAGCGCCTGCATCTCCCATCACGCACAATCACATAGGCTAAAAATACTCCCTTTGGATTTTTTTGGCTTTTTTTTTAAAAAAAGCGAAAAATAATATTTACCAGCTTCTAGCTGCTGATTAAAAATTGCCCCAATGTGCTTAGAGCACAGTTTGGGGTTGGTTTTGTTGCTTTAGGTTTGTTTTTTTTTTTGGCTGGATTTTTTTTTGTTAACAGAGCAGCTAGAATTTTTTATTTTTTTTTTTTACAGCTGTTGCTAATTTCCACCGTTGTTTCTTACCGCACTGAAATCCAGTAAATCACTCAGTTCTTTGTCCGTCCCTAAGGCAGCCATTCGCTGTTGGTGATGCATTTTAGCAAAATCACACAAACCTAGAAACATGGAAATAACCGCAATCAGAAATCCCGAGCCTCGCAGGAAACACAGTCGGATTTTGCTTTTTCAAGGGGGGTCGGGGAGCGGGTGGTTGAGAAGAAGAAGAAGAAGGGAGGGGAAAAAAAAGATGGAGGGGCAGCAAAAAAAAATAAAAAATAAAAAAACAGAACCAAAAACACAACAACAAGAGGAAAAAAAAAAAAGCGATATTGTATTTCCAAAGAGGCGAGCCAAACCCGGCAACATCCACTCTTAAACCCAAATCCGGAGCAGATAAAAAAAGGCAAAGCCTCGCTCCCGGAGCATCATTTATGCAACAGGAGGTTCAGCGAGGAATGAATGAGGATCCCAGAGAAGAAACTACAGCCATCCGCTCCCAACTTTTTCCCTTCTCCTTCTTCCACTCAAACTAGCGTTTGGAGGCAGAAACGGCAAAGAGCGAGGAGGAGAAAAACATTAAATTTTTTTAAAAAAAGCCACGGCGAGATGCGAAGCGCAGGTTCCGCGGGCAGACAGGGGGATGGGGGGGACAATTAGCCCCGATTCCTAATTCGCGGAGGAGGCGGGGGGGAGCAGGCCGACAACACCCCGGCGGCGGCTGCGGGGCCTGTGCGGAGGCAGCGGCGCGGGGGGGAGGGGAGCCGAGCGGGGAAGGGGAGGCAGCGAAGGGGCGCGGAGCCCGACCCAGCTCGGCTGGGCTCCCCCCACCCTCCCCCGGTACCCTCCGCAGCCGCTCATGGAGCTCCGCGCCCGGCCGCGCTTTAGCGAGGGCTCCGCCGCGGATCCGCGCGGCTCGCGCGCACACATGGCCGAGCGCGGTTGTTACACGGGGCCGCGGACGCACGTGACGCGGAAAGGAACACCGATTTTTTTATTTTTATATATATATATATATCCCCCCACCCTTGGATTACCCGTTCGACTCTTTATTATTATTATTATTTTATATTTTTTTAATCTAGGGTGCTGCTTTGTTTTGGTTGCCTCGCTATCGCCGCAAACTTTGCAAAGCAAGCCCCCTCGCAAGTTTTTGGGGATGCTGCCGGCCCCCCCCCACCTCCCTTCGCCCCTTCCCTTTTCCCTCATCCCCTCCGCCACTTTTATTCCGTATTTTCCTCTGGCAGGCCGGACAGCGCTAAAAAAGAACTGCCGGGAGTTCATTTTCCGGTAGGAAATAAAGCGGCGAGTCCCCGCGTCCGCACCTCGGTGTGGTTACATCCAATGTACATACAATGTATAGATTTACACAGCCCGGAACTTGCACTTTTCTTTTTTTTTTTCTTTTTTTTTAAGTAACACATCGGGATGGACAATTTCAATTAAAAAAAAAATAAAAATGAAAGCAAAAAAAAAAAAAAAAAAAAAAAAAAAAACACAGACAAGTTAGTCTAACAGCAAATCGGAACTTTACCTTAAATGGCCACAAATATGTTCACAATATTCCAAGGGGGGGAAAAAAAAGTTTAAAAAAAAAGGAATTAAAAAAAAAATAAAAAGAGAGGAATCTTCTGCCAAAGTGCTTTATTGTCTCACACGTGTGTGACCCTCCAAAACCACCAAAAAAGTAGGGAAAGTGTCAGTCCTGCTCCGGGTTATTCCACAGCTTTACAGGCACACTACACCTGGCTTTGTTGGGATTTGGGGGGGCCCGGCCACCGGCCGCAAAAAAAAAAAATATAAATTAGATTTAAAAAATTTAAAAATTCAAAACCAAGGTAGAAAAAAAAAAGGAAAAAAAAAAAAAAAAAAGAAGGTCCGACAACTTTTGCCCTATTGTTTTTACAGACACATGGTGACGGGCTCTCAGCGCCGCGGCTCTCGGGGACTTGCCCCCTCCTTGTCCTTCCTTAAAAAAAAACCCAAAAAAAACCAAAAAACCCCAAATCCCGAAAAAAAAAAAAAAAACAGGCGACTCCCCCCTCGGGGGAGCGCGGGGCCGCCCGTTCCCCAACTTGGTCCAAGTTTAGAGCAGCGCCCGCCGCCTCCTCCGGCTCAGCAGCGCGGCCTCCCCCGCCGAGCCGCGGCCGATCGCATCCCGCCCGGGCAGCCGCATCGCCCGCCGCTCACATCCGGGCAATGCCCGCCGCCTTATAAGCGCCGCCGCCGCCGCTCGCAGACAATGACGAGGAGGAGGAGGAGGAGGAGGAGGAGGAGGAGGGCGGGAGGAAGCGGGCGGGACGGCGCGGCGGGGCTCACAAGATGGAGGGACCCCGCCGCCTCTCGCTGCGCCCCTCACGTGTTCCCGCGCAGGCCCCTGGGGATCGGCGCCCGCGCTGCCCGCGGGGCTCCGGCCGCGCTCGGCCATGACCGGGCTGGAGCGGCCGCTCGCCGGCAGCCCTCAGCACACCCGGGAGGGATTTCAGTACCCACACCACCCGTGAGGGGTTCCAGCACCCTCAGCACACCCATGAGGGGTTTCAGCACACCCATGAGGGGTTTCAGCACCCTCAGCACATCCATGAGGGGTTCCAGCACAACCATGAGGGGTTCAGCACACCGATGAGGGGTTCCAGCACCCTCAGCACACCAATGAGGGGTTTCAGCACACCCATGACGGGTTTCAGCACACCCATGAGGGGTTCCAGCACCCTCAGCACACCCATGACAGGTTTCAGGACACCTATGAGGGGTTCCAGCACCTTCAGCACAACCATGAGGGGTTTCAGCACACCCAGGAGGGGTTTCAGCACACCCATAAGGGGTTTCAGCACACCCGTGAGGGGTTCCAGCACCCTCAGCACAACCATGAGGGGTTCCAGCACCCTCAGCAAGACCTAGGATGGCTTCCAGCCTCCTCAGCAGACCCATGCAGGGCAGCAAGACCTAGGATGGCTTCCAGCCTCCTCAGCAGACCCGTGAAGGGCTTCAGACCCCTCAGAAAATAACACCATGAGAGCTTTCAGACCCCTCAGACGACTCTCGAAGGGTTTAGACCCTTCAGCAAACCCCGTGAGAGGTTTCAGACCCCTCACCAGAACCGTGAGGGCTTTCAGGACCCTCAAAGGACTCTCGAAGGGTTTAGACCCCTCAGCAAACCCCGTGAGAGGTTTCAGACCCCTCACCAGAACCGTGAGGGCTTTCAGGACCCTCATCCCGCCCAGCACTCAGCAAACCCTGTGAGGGGTTTAGCGTGCCCTCAAACCAAGATCAGATGCCGCGACGTGTTACAGCCGCCTCAGCAGTTACCTGAAGGGCTTCAGGTCCCGCAGACTCTCGATGGGTTTCGCGACCCTCCGCCATGATCGCACTCCGTGAGGGGATTTCGGCTCCCATAGATCCTCCAAGGGTTTCTCGCGCTCCCGGCCCTCAGCCGATCCCGTCGGGGGCCTGAGGGGGCTCGCAGCACTCCGCCATGAGGGGCTTCCCGCCCCTCCGCCATGAGGGGGCTCGCAGCACTCCGCCATGAGGGGGTTCGCAGCACTCCGCCATGAGGGGCCTCCTGCCACTCCGCCATGAGGAGCTTCCCGCCACTCCGCCATGAGGGAGCTCACACCACTCCGCCCTGAGGGGCTTCCCGCCACTCCGCCATGAGAGGGCTCGCACCACTCCGCCATGAGGGGGCTCGTGCCACTCCGCTCTGAAGGGGCTTCCCGCCACTCGGCCCTGAGGGAGCTCGCACCACTCCGTTCTGAGGGGGCTCCGGCCACTCCGCCCTGAGGGGCTTCCCGCCACTCCGCCATGAGAGGGCTCGCACCACTCCGCCATGAGGGGGCTCGTGCCACTCCGCTCTGAAGGGGCTTCCCGCCACTCGGCCCTGAGGGAGCTCGCACCACTCCGCCATGAGGAGCTTCCCGCCACTCCGCTATGAGGGGGCTCGCGCCAGGTTGCCCTGAGGGGGCAAGCGCCACTCCGCCGTGAGGGAGCTCGTGCCAGGTTGCCCTGAGGGGGCAAGCGCCACTTCCGCCGTGAGGGAGCTCTCGCCACTCCGCCGTGAGGGAGCTCCCGCCACTCCGCCGTGAGGGAGCTCCCGCCACTCCGCCGTGAGGGAACTCCCACCATTCTGCCCTGAGGGAGCTCCCACCACCGGCCCTGATGGAGCTCACACCACCGGCCCTTATGGAGTTCCCACCACCCGCCGTGAGGGAACTCCCACCATTCTGCCCTGAGGGAGCTCCCACCGCCGGCCCTTATGGAGCTCCCACCACCGGCCCTGAGGGAACTCCCACCGCCGGCCCTGATGGAGCTCACACCGCCCCGCCGTGAGGGAGCTCCCACCACCCCGCAGGCGCCTCGGGCAGGCCTCCTTGGGTCTCCGGCCCAGCCCTGGCCCCTCAGAGGTCCGGCGAAGTTTCCCTCCTTCGCCTTCCCTCACTGCTGAGGCGCCGTGAGGGGCTCCAGCTCCGTCAGCATCCGAAAACCCTGTGAGGGGTTTCAGCGCCTCAGCCGTGATCGCACCCTCGAAGGTTTTCAGCCCGCTCAGCCCTCAGCATCCCGCAAGAAGAGGTAGGTTTGAATTATTCCTTTTTCAATGTGTTTTTTGGGGTGCTGGGCCCGCAGCGGGGCTGCTGCACCAGCAGGTGGTGGAAATGAAAATAAAGAAGGGATGGGGAAAGGCAGAGAGAGAGGAATGATGTAAAATCCTGGAATGGTTTGGGTTGGAAAGAAGCCCCATCCAGCCTAGCTTTGGACACTTCCAGGGACGCTGCCTTCAAATTAATGATGGATTTGGTTAATAACGGGCTGTGAGGTCTTATTTGGAAATTAAGTAGGAAAAGGGCTAACCCAACTGCCATCCTGGCCCCGGTATTATTCATTTTCCAGTTTTAATCCTCTGGATTTTATACTATCCCCATATGTCCTGTTTTCAGCAGGCCACAGGAATTCCATGTGGGCAATTGGCTGAGCAGGGGAGCCTTTGGCCAGCTCAGAATCCACAGGAAGCAAACCCGGGAAATTTTATCAGATTCCCCTTCCCTGGAAGTGTCCAAGGAACTGGACAGTCCTTAAAATCCCAAAGCATTCCCTGATTCTCTCAGGGTGATTGTGAAAATGAGTTGATGAATGTTATAGGAGCTGCAGCAGGTGATGTCGTGAGTGATCTGGAGCTGCCACGCTGGGTTTTGTGATAAAACAGAAGTGGAACGTGGCTGAACTTAATACATTTTATAGGCTAAACCCCTCCAGTCGCCAAAGTGTTTGTTTCTCCACTTCCCGAAAATAAACAAGTGGGAAAATGGAGCGAGAAAAACCTTGTCATTTCCATGCAGTTTCTACCTTTGTGCTTCCTTGTTGTGGTGTCAACATGAGGCTAGTTTGGCTTAGAGGGGAATGTAAACTTGCTAATTTCAGCACAGCTTTGCAAAGAATGCGTTTCATTCACTGCCTCAGAAATACTGCAGATTTCCATGGAAAGGTACTCCTGGAGGTGGGAAAATATTCTCCTGCATTTGCCTGAATTCCGATTAAAATTTGGTTTGTTTTCTAATTCCCTAATGAGATAGGATGTTTGATTTCAATTAAAGCGAAATGTCATCATTTTCCGTTGTACTAATGGATGTGGAATACTGCAGTCCATTAGGGAGAAAACACTGGATTTGGGAAAAGGCCAAGAGGTGCAGGGGATGGAAAGAGATTTTCCACGTATTTTCAATTTTTGTAATGGGCATATGTAGGTCATTATGGAAATCCATGCGTTGCGAGGAGAGGGATACAGAAAATACAATAAGGCAATCCCTGCTCAAGATTTCAGCAGGAATTGTTCACGTTTGGATGGGGCTGGGAGTCCACCTGGGCTGGTGGCAGGGGGAATGATCCTTCAAATCCCTTCTTCAAGGCCTCTTCCAGCCCAGCCTTGAGCGATTCCAGGGCTGGGGCATCCACAGCTTCTCTGGGAAGAGTTGATGAGATTTAAGTTTATTCCCCCACGCGGTATCTTTGCGTTATTGAGCGTTCTTTGAAGGCTCTCCACAAAAATGTGTTGTTGTTGTTATAAATCCCTTTATATCTTGATTTCGTGTCTCATTTCTGTTCTTACTGTTTGTTGTTGAGCCTGGACCCGTCGGTGGCGGGGGAGCCTCGGGCTGAGTCCCGTCGCTCGTCCTTGTAATTGAATTAAAAGCTGCTGTAAAAAAAAAATAAAAAAATACACGGGAATAAGAATAGGAGAGGGATGAAGAAGGAAATAATTGGGGGAATACGTGGCTGGATTAGTTATTGTCCCAATTAAGTGCCTGAATTAGCTCCTTGACAAGGAACGCTGAGGGAAGAATAAAGGGCTATCGGTGACAAGGCCAGTTTTTAGGGAAGCTGCTCCTCTAAGTGTCTTGTGATTGCAGTATAAAGAGCTGCAGGTTTCAGTTAAATGGATTTTGATTCTGCTCATTTTTCTAACAGTAGATTTGTTTCACTTCCATATTAATCTCCTTTTATTAAACCGTAGAAACGCCAACCTTTGTTTTCCTGGGAGCAGCCTAGGACATAATCTAACTTTACAAAAAAATACGAGTATTTGTGCTCGGTGAAGAGATTGGGGTTGGATTTAAAGCCCGTGAACTGGTCACACAATTATGTCATTTCCAGCTCTAGGAGAAGTTGATTATTTGGAACAAACACGGAGGACTTGAGCTAATTTTCACGGCAAAGTGATTTCGGTGTTTTGGAGGGTAACAAATTCCTTTTGAAAGCTGTGCCAGGTGGAATTTCCGCATGGAAGGTGCAGTCCCCATTCCTGGGGGTGTCCGAGGGAGGCTGGAAAAGAGCTCCACCCTAAGTGACCCTGACACATTTGGAGTTAGATCTGAGGAAGAGGACGGGTGGCACGAAGTCGGTGAAGTCACCCCGAGCAGCTGGAGCTGCTCAGGGCCGCGCTGGGCCGTGCTTGGAGCAGCCGGGGCTGCTGGGACTCCCCAGCAGAGGCCCGGCTGCGGCTGCCAGACATTCCAGGTGGAGCACGGCTCACACAGACGCGTTCCTGCGCTGTCTCTGGCCGCCTCCCACACGGGAGACGGGAACATGGGCAGGGACACGGCATCCCCTCCCTCAGGAAGAGCCGCAGACGCAGCCTCAGAGCCTCCGGCTGCAGCGTTCTCTCGCGCTGAACATAACGAGGAAACACCCGCTTGTGGTTTAGGAAATGTGGAAATGTGTGGAGTTC